CTTGGGAGGCTGAGGCAAGAGAATCGCTTAAGCCCAGGAGTTGGAGGTTGCTGTGAGCTGTGATGCCATGGCACTCTACCCAGGGGCAACAGCTTGAGGTTCTGACTAAAAAAAAAAAAAAAATTAGCTAGACTTGATGGCATGTGCCTGTGGTTCCAGTTACTTGGGAGGTTGAGGCAAGAAGATTGCTTGTTGGAGCCCCAGAGCTGGAGGTTGTAGTAAGTTATGATCCTACTGCACACTAGCCTCAGTGACAGAGCAAACCTCTGTCTCAAAAAAAAAAAAAAAAACCCTCATCATTCTGAAGTTTGGCAAAGATACTCAAATAAATAGGAACTCTCAGAGTTGACTGAAAATTGTTACAGCTCATCTGCAGACCTATGTAGCAATATCCAGAAAGAATGATGTACATGCCCCAAATTCCACAGTTTGATTTTTAGATATTAGAGAAATTCTACATACATTAATTTTAGCATTGTTGAAAGGTGATATATTAGAAACTAAATATCCACAAACCAAAGGAAAGGATAAGTATAGTCATACTGAAGATAAATGATTAAAATGATGGAATTATATGTATTAAGAGATAAATCTTAAATATAATGTTGAGTAGAAAGCAACATTAAAAAGATATGTACATTATACCCTTAAAATGTCATGTCTTACAATTAAAAACAAGTATGGCAAGATCTTAGCATCTGTTAAAACTGGGAATGGATGAGTTGGTGCTTGTTGTAATTCTTTGTCATTTTCTAAGAAGGTTTGATTTAAAAATTGAAGAAAAGAGGAACTGGGATTACTCTCTAAGTAAATATGGATAAGGGAGCTCTTATACTATGTGGTTGTAAAAAGGGACAGAAGAAAAGAGTTGTCTTCTTGAAGAACTTTTTTTTTTTTTTTTTTTGAGATAGTATTAGTTGCCCTGGGATTGAGTGCTATGGCATCATAACTCACAGCAACCTCAAACTTTGGGCTAAAGCAATCTTCTTGTCTCACACTTCTAAGTATCTGGGACTACAGGTACCTGCCATAACACCTGACTAGTTTTTCTATTTTTGGCAGAGATCAGATCTCTGTTTGCTCAGGCTGGGCTCAAACTCCTGAGCTCAGTTTATCCAACTGCCTTGGCCTCCCAGAGTGCTAGAATTATAGGCATGAGCCACTGTGCCTGGCCAGAACTTTTCTTTTCTTTTTTTTTTTTGAGACAGAGCCTCAAGCTGTCCCCCTGGGTAGAGTGCTGTAGCATCACAGCTCACAGCAACCTCCAACTCCTGGGCTCAAGCGAGTCTTCTGTCTCCGCCTCCCAAGTAGCTGGGACCACAGGCGCCCGCCACAACGCCCGGCTATTTTTTGGTTGCAGCCGTCATTGTTGTTTGGCGGGCCCGGGCTGTTTTCGAACCCGCCAGCTTAGGTGTATGTGGCTGGCGCCTTAGCTGCTTGAGCCACAGGCGCCGAGCCACCAGAACTTTTCTTAAAGTTCAATCAAAAGGTTTTACCTGATAGTGAACATGGGCTGGGAGGTCTGGTGGGGGTGGAGTAGACAGGTGTAAGGTAGTCTCATTTGGAGAATCCAGAGCTCATTGATTACGGGAAGGCACTTTGGGGTGTCCACCTGAGATGACCATGAGTCTGCACAGCTGGGTGACTTTATTTCCAGCAGAGCTTAACTATAGGGGTGTAGCCATGAAGTACAATTGTAGTCAGCCAGGCCTAGGTTTTGCTGCAGTCAGGTGTGTTGAAAGGTGAGAGGGGAGCAGTTACAGATTTCTTAGTCCCTTCTCCACTCAGAACTGAGACTGCCTCAGTTGACTAGCCTTAAAAAAAAAAAAGAAAGGCCAGGCATAGCAGCCTAGACCTGTAATCATAGCACTCTGGGACACCAAGGTGGGTGGATTACTAGAGCTCAGGAATTTGAGACAGGCCTAAGCTATCTCCTAAGAGGGAGATCCTATCTCTACTAAAAACAGAAAAACTAGCCAGATGTAGTGTCATATGCCTATAGTCTCAGCTACTTGGGAGGCTGAGGCAAAAGGATTGCTCAAGCCTAAGAGTTTGAGGTTACTGTGAGCTATGCTGTCATGGCACTCTAGCCAGGGCAACAAAGTGAGACTCTGTTTCAAAAAAATAAAAAGAAAGAAAAAGAAAGATGAGAGAAGAAAGGAGTCAAGGCAATAAGACAATTAGTAATCATCATGAGCATGGACTTCAAAGTGGGCAAAGGGGAGCCAGTGCAGGTAGGTGGGTCATGAACAGAATGCCTGAAGCCAAGGTTCCTGGGCTTACCGCTGTGCCCATGCTTGAGTGCATGCACTGGGAGAACAGAAGCAGAATCTTGAGATTACTGGCTTCCTAAGAGGAAGTATGTTCTCTGGTGATGAAGTTCAGTGAGTACCTTTGGGGTAGCTGACTGAGGAAGAGTGGAGAGTCACAGAACTGGACAGAGGTCAAGGGCAACTCGTGAAGTTGCATAGAATGACAGAAAGAGTAGGTATGGAGGATGTGACCAGGGTTAGCATGATGGTGTGAGCCTCAGATAAGCAGGGTTTTCATAAAATCGGGGCAAGTAATGGTCTAGACAGCATTGTTCAATACAGTTGTATCCATAGCTACATGGGACTGCTAAAATTAATCATGTCAACCTAGAATGAGCTACAGAGAGATTAAACTCTCTCCAAAGCAAAGAGTGTACTTGGGGATAGTAGGAGATTGCAGTCTGGGGTATATGTGCTGTGGTGAACCATAGGCAAGTCCAAAGGGGTTGCAGAAGGGAAGCTGTTTTTGTTTTCTTTTTATTGTTTTGAGACAAGAGTCTCGCTCTGTCACCTGGGTAAACTGCCATGTCATCATAGCTCACAGCAACCTCAAACTCCTGGGTTTGAGTATTCTTCTTGCCTCAGCTTCCAAAGTAGCAAGGTCTACAGGTGCCCGCCGCAATGCCCGGCTAATTTTTCTATTTTTTTTAGTAGAGATGGGTTCTCACTTTTGCTCAGCCTGGTGTCAAACTGAAGCTCTGGCAATCAACCTGCCTCGGCCCCCCCAGAGTACTAGGATTACTGATGTGAGCCTCTGTATCTGGTGAAGGGGAAGCTTTTAAAGATAAACCCATGTAGGCGTTTGCAAACAAAACCACCGGCTCCTAGGGCTTGTCACAGGAGCTGGTGTTAGCTTGTTGGTGAAGACAGCCCTTTTGCGTATTCTTGTGCAAGTGGCTTATCTAGAATAGTGTGGTTTTGAGAAATTCCTACATAGTTTCCATAATAGGCATATGTGTGTGAGGCCTTGTCTTTCAAGGCCTTCTGGCTCCATTTTGTGAATTTGACATTAGTGACTCCATTTTGATACTAATAACTTTCACTGTTAAAATTAAATACCATTTTACCAAAAAAATTTAAGTAACATTTAAATATTGGTTCTTCAGTTTCACTAGACACATTTCATGTGTTCAGTAGCAACATGTGACTTATTGGACAGTGCAGACTTTGCAGAAAGTTCCATTGGGTGGTGCTGATATGAAAGAAACAAGAAGGGCAATCCTGAGTCATGTCCCTATCCTCAGCTACTGTCGGGGTGTAAGTGGCGTGTAGAGCGCAGTAGGAGGCAGCTGGGGGATGTTCACAGCCTGGAGTACCTGAATCTTAACTGGGATTCTGAAATATTTGGGAGTAACAGAAATCTAAAATAACAATTCAGTTGAATCTTAAAACCATAAAATAGAATTCATATACAGTCGAACCACTATAAGTTGACCACCCAAGGGACTGTAACAAACTAGGCAACATACAGAGATAGATGGCTGTATGGTCATAAGGACTTACGCCTAGGATAATAATATGCACATGTGGTGCATTTCTATGAAAATTAGGTCAACTTGAGGTGGTCAGTGTAGGGAAGTGTTACCTATGGTCTATTATATCTAAAATACATTTTTACATATGGTTTTTATTTTATTTATTTATTTATTTATTTTTGAGACAGAGCCTCAAGCTCTCCCCCTGGGTAGAGTGCTGTAGCATCACAGCTCACAGCAATCTCTAACTCCTGGACTCAAGCGAGTCTCCTGCCTCAGCCTCCCAAGTAGCTGGGATCACAGGCGCCTGCCACAGTGCCCAGCTATTTTTTGGTTGCAGCCGTCATTGGTGTTTTGGCAGGCCCAGGCTGGATTTGAATCTGCCACCTTAGGTGTATGTGGCTGGCGTCTTAGCCACTTGAGCCTACATGTGGTTTTTAAATTACTGCGCAAATAGACTTAGTGCCTGTAGCTCAGTGGTTAGGGCACTGGCCACATGCACCGGGGCTGGTGGGTTCAAACCTGGCCCAGGCCTGTTAAACAATGACAACAACAATAACAAAAATAGCCAGGCATTGTGGCAGGCGCCTGTAGTCCCAGCTACTTGGGAGGCTGAGGCAAGATAAGCACTTAAGCCCAAGTGTTTGAGGTTACTGTGAGCTGTGACACCATGGCACTCTACCGAGGGTGACATAGTAAGACACTGTCTCAAAAAAAAAAAAAATACGGCAGTGCCTGTGGCTCAAAGGGGTAGGGTGCTAGTCCCATATGCTGGAGGTGACAGGTTCAAACCCAGCCCTAGCAATAAATAAATAAATAAATAAATAAGGCTTGGCGCCTGTAGCTCAAGCGGCTAAGGTGCCAGCCACATACATCAGAGCTGGCAGGTTCAAATCCAGCGTGGGCCTGCGAAACAACAATGACAACTACAACCAAAAAAATAGCTGGGCATTGTGGCAGGCGCCTTTAGTCCCAGCTACTTGGGAGGCTGAGGCAAGAGAATTGCTTAAGCCCAGGAATTGGAGGTTGCTGTGAGGCCATGGCACTCTACCCAGGGCAACAGCTTGAAGCTCTGTCTCAAAAGAAAGAAAAAATAAATAAATAAATTACTGCACAAATATGTAAATGTTTGAGAAAAGAGCATTTTACTTACACATGCAGTCTGAATTGAAGGTGGACCTTGCAGCTGCCCAGACGTTTCTCTTTCCAATAGCACGCTCGCAACTTCAGACGTCAGCAGGCGCAAGTGGCTAATTCCAGGCGCAGAGTATTCCATCTTTACTGGCCAGCCTTTGGACATCTCAGACAGTAGAGTAAATGACCAGCTGGAGGAAACCTGTGTCCCTGGGTAAGACAACTTTGCCAAAGATTCTGTTTAGGAATGACTTGTTTTGTTAGAGATTTCAATTACCTTTAAATATTCAGGAAGCCATCTCTTTGCTTCTTTAATATCTTCATGTTGATGACCTAATTTTTATTTTACTTTGAAAGGCTGGTACTTTGGGGGTATATTACTTTCATGAGCTCTGCACAGCTTCCCCACTGTGCTCAGTGACATAGTATGGGGCTTACAGTTAGGATGAGGTGTTGGTCCTCTCACCATCTGGATAGCCTGAGCCTCTGTAAGCAACCTCAGCCATTACTCCAGGGTGCTACACAAATATTTTTGTATGTGCTAGGATGTTGCTAGGATTGGAAAGCACTGTATGCAGTTTCAGTTGTAATTGATTTGTGTTATGAAGCATACATATTCATTGTGGAGTATGATCGTCAATTCTCATGTTAGTCTCCTAACAATCCCATTAAGCCAGGGGTCCTCAAACTTTTTAAACAGGGGGCCAGTTCACTGTCTCTCAGACCGTTGGAGGGCTGGACTGCAGGCCCCGGGATGAGTCGGCTGCTAAGCAGAACAGGCAGCAGCAGCAAAAACACCCCGCGGGCCGGATAAATGTCCTAGATGGGCTGTAGTTTGAGGATGCCTGTAACAAACTATGCGTCTTAGCTTAGGCTGCTTTAAGAAATTACCATTGACTGGGTGGCTTAAATAACTAACTTTTTTGGCTCAGTGCCTATGGCTCAAGTGGCTAAGGCACCAGCCACATACACCTAAGCTGGCGGGTTCGAAGCCAGCCTGGCTGCCAAACAACAATGATGGCTGCAACCAGAAAATAGCTGGGCTCTGTGGCGGGTGCCTGTGGTCCCAGCTACTTGGGAGGCTGAGGCAGGAGACTTGCTTAAGCCCAGAAGTTGGAGGTTGCTGTGAGCTATGATGCCACAGCACTCTATTCAGGGGGACACCTTGAGGCTCTGTCTTATAAAAAAAAACAAAAACTAACTTTTTGTTGTTGTTGAGACAGAGTCTCACTATGTTGCCCTTGTTAGAGTGCTGTGGCATCACAGCTCATAGCAACCTCAAACTCTTGGGCTCAAGTGATTTGCTTGCCTCAGTCTCCCAAATTTCTGGGACTATAGGCACTGGCCACAATGCCCGACTATTTTTTTTGTTGCAGTTGTCATTGTTTAGCTAGTCCAGGCTGGGTTCAAACCTGCCACCCTCGGTGTATGTGGCTGGTGCTGTAACCACTGTGCTACGGGCACTGAGCCATAAACAATCAACATTTATCTCTTCAGTTCTGGAGGCTAGAAGTACAAGATCAGGGTGCTGGCATTGGCTGAGTTCTCAGTGAGGGCCCTTTTCCTCACATTGGCTTCCTTTGGTGTGTGTTCCCAGAGAGCTTTTGTGTCTCTTCTTTTTGTAAGGGCACTAATTCCATCACTCTCATGGTCTCATCTAACCCTAATTAGCTCCCCAAGGCCCTGCCTCCAAATACTATCACAATGAAGGCTTCAACATGTGTGTTTGGAGGACATACTGCATGCAGTTCCCAGCACTGTATGTCTTACAATTATTATTTAAGGTACCATTCCCCTCCGGAAAAGGATTCTTCATCTGGAAGTTCACCAACAAGTTTGTTAATGAAAAACCAAAGAGAGATTTCAGATGCACCAATCATGAAAGCTTTGCAGGAACTTGATGAAGAAAAAATATTTAAAAATTGGGGGACACAAACAGAGAAAGAAGACACCTCAAATAGTGAGTATTTCCTTTTAATCAGATATTTTTTCTTCCCCCCATTTATATCACTTTAAATTACTGTTGCTTCACCTTTACCTCATAGATAACTGAATACCCTAGTTAATAGTTTATCACACTTTTGGCATAACATGTTCCTTTTTTTTTTTTTTTTTTTTGAGACGGAGCCTCAAGCTATCCCCCTGGGTAGAGTGCCATGGCATCAAGCTCACAGCAACCTCCAACTCCTGGGCTCAAGCGAGTCTCCTGCCTCAGCCTCCCAAGTAGCTGGGACCACAGGCGCCCGCCACAACGCCCGGCCATTTTTTGGTTGCAGCCATCATTGTTGTTTGGCGGGCCCGGGCTGGGGATTCGAACCTGCCACCTTAGGTGTATGTGGCTGGCGCCTTAGCCGCTTGAGCCACAGTCGCTGAGCCATAACATGTTCCTTTTATACAAGCAAATTGCATCTTACACTTTGATTATTAAAAAGGCTTACATGGCTCGGCGCCTATAGCTCAGTGGCTATGGCACTAACCACATACATGGAGGGTGGTAGGTTCGAACCCAGCCTGGGCCTGCTGAAAAAACGACAATGACAACTGCAGTAAAAAATAGTCGGGGGTTGTGGTGGGTGCCTGTAGTCCCAGCTACTTGGGAGGTTGAGGCAAGAGAATCACTTAAGCCCAAGAGTTGGAGGTTGCGGTGAGCTGTGATGCTACGGCACGCCTCTGAGGGCAACATAGTGAGACTCTGTCTCAAAAAAATAAATAAATAGACTTACATAGCATTCTTAAGGATACTTGAAAAATTTCTCCATTAGTTTTTCTTACTGGGACATAACACAGTTGTGACAGATGTTTGGTATTCATGAGGTGAGATAGAACATTTCCTGTTATTCCCTTTCTGAGTTACTGAGCATCTGTAGATAAGAAATATCTTCAATTCTGTGTTTTTCCACAGATCTAGATCGATAGTATTTTTCTCTCCTTTTACTTTCTGCTGTGCTTACTTGTTCAGTCATACCATCAACATCTTTGATGTTGCATCACCTAGTAAATAAATTAGTAACCTGCTTTCTAAAATTAAACTCTTTTGAAAAATCACCTTGAATGCCAATTTTAAATGGTGGGGAGAGGAACCAGGATGAATTTATTATAAATTACCACATCTTCTTCATCAAGCACTTTTTTAAACATACTTTTGCAGATAATCATTATGCCCTAGATCAGGGGTCCTCAAACTTTTTAAACAGGGGCCCTTTTTAAATAGACTGCGGGCCCTGGGACGAGTTGGCTGCTAAGCAGGACAAGCAGCAGCTGCAAAAACACCCTGCAGGCTGGATAAATGTCCTAGGTGGGCTGCATGTGGCCCCCGGGCCATAGTTTGAGGACGCCTACACTAGATAGTGACAAGAGATGTTTTGAGCAGCACCAAGTCTACTTGAGGGTTTTGCATGGTGTCACCACCTATTAAGAAGGTAGACAAACAAAGCTTAGGCTTGCTATGATTTTTTTTTTTTTTATCATCTGGTATAGAATCAGTGAATCCTCGCCAAACTGAAACTTCAGTCAATGCAAGTCGTTCCCCAGAGAAATGTGCCCAACAGAGACAAAAGAGACTTAATTCTGCCTCCCAGAGATCATCATCTTTACCACCTTCAAATCGTAAATCAAGCATTCCAAGTAAGAATTAGATTATACATCTCTTGGGCTCAAGCATGACATCTGAGTTGCTCACAGTGTTTCCTATTTCTTTTGTACTTTTCTTAGCACCTAGTTGAGTACTCTGAGCACACTGTCTTTACATACAATCTTATTCAATAAGTGAAATTGCCTGTCACACAAATACTATGAATATAATGGAAAAAACCCTCAAGTTTATTAAAGTGAGATTTTTTTTGTATTGGTAAATTGTTTGCAACTAATATTCCTTCAAAATTGTTGAGATATGGCTCGGTGCCTATGGCTCAAGCGGCTAAGGCACCAGCCACATACACCTAAGGTGGCGGGTTTGAATCCAGCCCGGACCCACCAAACAACAATAATGGCTGCAACCAAAAAATAGCCGGGCATTGTGGCGGGCACCTGTGGTCCCAGCTACTTGGGAGACGGAGGCAGTAGACTTGCTTGAGCCCAGGAGTTGGAGGTTGCTGTGAGCAGTGAAGCCATAGCACTCTACCCAGGGGGACAGCTTGAGGCTCTGTCTTAAAAAAAAAAAAAAAAAAAAAAAGACAAAATTGTTGAGATAGTAGACTGCTGTCTAAGTTATTAACGTTTGTTAGTTCAAACTAGTCTGAAAAGAAAAGGTGCTTCTGAAAAAAAAGGAAAGATGCTTCTGATATATTTAACCTCAAGATCTCAGCATTTTTCTATCTCCCCTCCCATGGTTAATATATACAAATAGAAATGTCACCTTTTTTCTATAGCTTTAATTACAGGCTTGGTTTTAAAGTTTAAGCATTGAATTTCTGTGTGCTGAATTTCCATTTTTCGCACCACCGAGTCGATTCTTATAGGTATGTTCACTATTGCACTGGTGTTTCCATCTTATTTCCAGTCGACTTCTAAAATCCTGAAAAACCAGTTTTGAGTCAATGTGCTGAAACTACCTTCTGATATACTAAAATGTTAACAGTCATTACCTGTCTGGATATTAGGATTATGAATTTTTTTTATTTTGTATACTCAAAGTTTTTCTCCAACTTTGCAACAAAGTTGTATTTCTTTCATAATTAGAATTACTCTACTGAAGAACTATCTCTGCCAGTATATGTACAACATATATAGAAGGAAAAGAATATTTCCTTTTTGTTTTCTTCTTCAGCAAAGAGAGAGATTATGTTAACACCAGTGACTGTGGCTTATAGTCCAAAGAGATCCCCTAAAGAAAATTTGTCTCCAGGTTTTAGTCATCTACTTAGCAAAAATGAAAGCAATCCAATTCGGTAAGTTCTTTAAAATTGTAGAATAAACTATATATATTAGTGACTTTTAAAATGTTGACTCACGCCTCTAGTTATCACTAATTTTTCAGTTGTCAGTGGGAACGCTGTAGATTTAAATCATGTAAATATCTAAATCAACGTCATACTACAAATCAAGTACTACATTACATGAAACTTTTTAACTGTGTAAACTTGCTACTACTACATTTTAAATACCACCTCAGCACCCTATCTAGCTTTTTTTTTTAATTAAATCATAGCTGTGTACATTAATACTATCATGGGGTACATTGTGCTGTTTTTATATACAATTTGAAATATTTTCATCAAACTGGTTAACATAGCCTTCATGTCATTTTCTTAGTTATTGTGTTAAGACATTTATATTCTACATTTAGAAAGATTTACATGTACCCTTATAAGATGAACCATTTGCGTGATCCCACCAATCACCCTCCTTCCACCCACCCTCCACCCTCCACCCTCCCCTCCCTTCTCTCTCCCCTTTCCCCGTATTCTTGGGCTATAATTGGGTTATAGCTTTCCTATGAAAGCTATAAATTAGTTTCATAGTAGGGCTGAGTTCATTGGATACTTATTCTTCTATTCCCTATCTAGCTTTTGAATGTAGAATGTTATTTGTTTTCCTGAAAAGTTTAAGATACAAGGAAAATTTTGAGCCATTATTTAAGAAAGTGGGCTGTGCTGGTGTGGCCCTGGCACTAACTGAATATTTAATGTGCTTCTGAGAAAACTGTCCTCTGACCTGTGGGCAGCAGTGTGTGCTGTGGTGGGAAGGACATAGTTCCTGGTTCTAGACCTAACTCCCTATATGCTCATGGGGAGATGGCTTAAGCACATTGAACCTCAGTTTCCTCTTCTAGAAAACGGGGATAATAATACCTGCCCTGCTTATTTTATAAGGTTGTTAGAAAGATCATGAGATAATGTGTGGGTAAGTGCTTTAAGTCTTAGTATGTAAATACAATTTTTGTTAGAAAATAGAAATAAAATTTGTTTTAGAAAATAATATAACCAACTTTCTTTAAAGAAAATATGTAAATATGTAAGTTAACTGGATGCCAGCTCATCTTTCTAGTGGACATAGGGAAAAACAGTTAACATTTTTTTCTCACAAGTGACTTGCTTCATTCAATAGATTTGATATACTTTTGGATGATTTAGATACTGTTCCTGTGTCTACATTACAACGTACCAATCCAAGAAAACAACTCCAGTTTCTTCCTCTAGATGACTCGGAAGGTATCTTTTCCTAAAAAATTATTAGTTATGGCTTTAGTCATTTTTGAGATTCTGGTATCTCTCAAGGTTCTAAATATTATCTTATAATATCTTGTACTTAAATATTTTTCTACCCAAGGACCTCTAAAAATAAGCATTCATGATGCTTCATATTGTTATGTCAATGTTGTTATCCTCATTGAAAAGTTGGGAAACTGAGGTACAGGGAGTGTTAGTGTTTAATCACCAGGGCCATACTGTTTGTTCATTTATTCTTTTATACTCTACAATTTATGTGCAACTTAGGCTTTGGGTAATTTTTTTCTCATATTTTAAGTTTGGAATAAAGTTATAAGACAATGTATATGAAATCACTTCGGTAGGCCCTCAAAATGTTAACTCTTTAGTATTGGTGTATGTCTACTTAATGTTATGTGTTGTTTAGTTTTTAAACTTTTTTTCTTTAAGTTTACTTAAAGTTCATTTATGTTTACATGAAGTTTGCTTAAGTTCATTTAAAGAAGTTGTGAAGATTGTCAAACCGAGGCCAAAGCTTTTAGAATTCTTTGGAGGAAAAGCACTGAGCAAATATGCTTGATTATCGTATCTCTTTTCATTATTTATTTGGGCTATATAGCAGCCATTTCCAGGGAGTGAAGTTGGGCAATATATTTAATATGTCTGCAATCTTATGGAAAAATTGATAAGAAATATAAGAAGTTTCTTTCCTCTTTGACAGAAAAAAAGTATTCAGAAAAAGCTACCGACAACCATGTTAATCATAGTTCTTGCCCCGAACCGTTGCCAAATGAAGTGAAGAAAGTATCTGTGAAACCAGCCTGGGAGAAGAATAAATCAGTTAGCTATGAACAGTGTAAGCCTGTTTCAGTAACACCACAGGGTAATGATTTTGAATATACAGCAAAAATTAGGACCTTAGCTGAAACGGAACGATTTTTTGATGAACTTACTAAAGAAAAGGACCAGGTAAAAACAAAAATATAAAAAACCTTTCTTTCCTGAACTTAAAGTTTAAATTTAAGGAGTAATCAGAAGGGAATTATTGAGTCAACCTGCCTCAAGAAATTACAATGGGTACTATATAAGCTACTCTGGAAACATGTTTGAGCTTTGCAGTCCTTATTAAAGTCCTTATTAATTGACAGGGGGAAATTATGTTAAGAGGAAACGGATAAGAAAATACTAGGTTGAAATCTTTTCTTTCCATTCTGTGTGATAAACCTCCCTGCCAGTAATTAGAATTCTTCTAATTTCATTTAAACATTTTTTTGTGTTAACAGATTGAGGCAGCTCTAAGCCGGATGCCTTCTCCTGGAGGACGAATCACTTTACAGACAAGATTAGATCAGGTGAAATGTCTTAGCCTGAATCTACTTTAAAGGCTTGATGCCAATCAGTTTTCCATTTATCTAAGAGGAGTTTTTAAAATCATGGCACAATGAAAATTAGACACATTGAAACAGTAGTCAAAATTTTTAGCCTGTATAGGAAACGTAGGTGATTATAGCAATTTTACAAGCGCAAGCTTTTTTCAGGGTTAAAAACTAGTTTTACTTCAGACTTTAAGAGAACATTGTTCATGTCATTATGTTTTCAGGGAACTGGGAGCAAGTGGCAGTGTGCTTTTTAACAGATTTTACACATTAACTCTCACCTTTAGTATTCCTCACCCAATATCTATAATTTCTGAACCCTTTCCATTTAGTAAAGATGTAAAACGGTTGCACTCTGCAACTTAAATAGATGTAGAGGTTTTGGAAAGAGATGTGATTCCATTATTGAGCAGGAGGTGGTGCAGGTGATGTGGCCCATACACATTTCTTTTAGTTGCTTTTCAAAGAGAATTAAAATGAATAAAACCATGGGACATTTTTAATCTTTTAGTAACATTTGAAACATAACATCAAGTATGTATCTTTTATATAATTGCATGCTTTGGTTTTTCAGTGCCCTCAGTAAAAGTTCATTTTCAGGCTTGGCGCCTGTGGCTCAAGCAGCTAAGGCGCCAGCCACATGCACCTAAGGTGGCAGGTTCGAATCCCCAGCCTGGGCCCGCCAAACAACAATGATGGCTGCAACCAAAAAATGGCCTGGCGTTGTGGCGGGCACCTGTGGTCCCAGCTACTTGGGAGGCTGAGGCAGGAGACTCGCTTGAGCCCAGGAGTTGGAGGTTGCTGTGAGCTGTGATGCCATGGCACTCTACCCAGGGGGATAACTTGAGGCTCCATCTCAAAAAAAAAAAAAAAAAAAAAAAAAAAAAGTTCATTTTCAGATTGATCTGTGATTCCACAAAGAAAGATGCAAAACTATAGTGAAGGTCTTTTCCTAGGGCCTATATCCCTAACTTCTCTTTTTCTCTGAATTTGTCTTTTTTTAATTATTATTTTTCTTTTTTTAGCTGGGGCTGGGTTTGAACCCACCACCTCTGGCATATGGGGCCGGTGCCCTACTCCTTTGAGCCACAGGCGCCGCCTTCTTTTTATTATTTTTGCTCTCAAAAATTTTAGTCAGTAATTATAAGATTCAGTTAACACATGAAATTTCTTTTAGAACAGAGGTTCTCAACCTTTAGGTTGCAACCCTGTTGTTATGTTACATCCTGCAGATATTTACATTATGATTCATAACAGTAGCAAAATTATAGTTATGAAGTAGCAACGAAAATAATTTTATGGTTGGGGGTCACCACAACATGAGGAACTGTATTAAAGGGTCATGGCATTAGGAAGGCTAAGAACCACTGTTTTAGAAAAAGAGTTCTAAAGAAGAAACTCTTAGTTTCCTAAAAAAGCAGAAGAAAAACTTGTTGATACTGACTCTAAATCAGTCTGAAGTTCTGCTTAATAGATACACACGTACACATTTTTTTTTTGGAAGCAGAGTTTTACTCAGTTGCCCTGGGTTTGAGTGCCATGGCATCATAGCTCACAATAACCTCAAACTCTTTGGCTCAAGTGATTCTCTTGCCTCAGCCTCCCTTGTAGCTGGGACTATAGGCATCCACCACAATGCCCAGCTATTTTTAGAGACAGGGTTTTGCTCTTGCCTAGGCTGGTCTTGAACTCCTGAGCTCAAGCAATCCGCCTGCCTCAGCCTCCCGAAGTGCTAGGATTACAGGCATGAGCCACTGCGCCCAGCCCACATACATATATATTTGAAGCAGGGTCTCTGTTGCCTGGGCTAGAGTACAGTGGCACGATCATAGCTCATAGCAACCTCAAAATCCTGGGCTAAAACAATCTTCCTGTCTCAGCCTTCCAGGTAGCTGTATCTAAAGGTGTGCACCATCGTACCTGACTAATTTTTCTGTTTTTTGTAGAGGCAGGGTCTTACTCTGTTGCTAGAGTGCAGTAGTCTCATCATAGCTCACTGAAACTTCCAACTCCTCAACTCAAGGGATCCACCTGCCTCAGCCTCTTGAGTAGTTGGTTGCTATGTTGCCCAAATTGGTCTCAAAGTCCTAGCCTCAAGCAGTCTTCCTGCCTCAGCCTCTCAAAGTACTAGGATTATAGGCATGAACCACTGTGTCCTGCCTGTTTAATATATTTTTATATAAAGTATATTAAAGTAAGACTTAAAGGTTGTTCTGTTCATATACGTCAAAGCTTTTTCAATCCAATAAAAGGATAATTGGTAGCAACAAGGGGCTGAAGTTATTCCTATGTGATTCATAAGTGAAAGAATAAAACTGGGCAAGCCCCCCCCCCCCCCCCCAGTTCTCAGAATGGAGAAAAGCTTATTCTTTTCTTTTCTGTTTATTTATTTATTGAAACAGAGTGGTCCTCAGTAGAGTGCTGTAGTGACATAGCTCACAGCAACCTCCAGCTCTTGGGCTTAAGTTATTCTTTTGCCTCAGCCTCCCAACTAGCTGGACTATAGGCAACCACCACAGTGTCCGACATTTTTTTTTTTTTTTGTACTAATGGGATCTCTGGCTCTGGCTCAGGCTGATCTCAAGCCTCTAAGCTCAGGGCAATCCACCTGCCTCGGCCTCCCAGAGTGCTAGGATTATAGGCATGAGCCACCAGGTCCGGCCGAAAAGCTTATTCTTTACTGCAGGTAGAAGTAGAAATTTTCATAAACTTTCTGGAGTGCAGCTTGATATACAGATATGTGCAAAGTTAGAAATTTATTATAGCCTTATTATGATATCTGAAATTAGAAGCAGCCTGTTTCTACCAAAAGATTCTTGGTTAAATATCTTGCATCTGATAGAATATTATATATTAATTTAAAAGGCTGGTTTGTTTGTTTTTTTTTGAGACAGAGCCTCAAGCTGTCCCCCTGGGTAGAGTGCCGTAACATCACAGCTCACAGCAACCTCCAACTCCTGGGCTCAAGCGAGTCTCCTGCCTCAGCCTCCCAAGTAGCTGGGACCACAGGCGCCCGCCACAACGCCCAGCCATTTTTTGGTTGCAGCCATCATTGTTGTTTGGCGGCCCGGGCTGGATTCGAACCCGCCACCTTAGGTGTACGTGGCTGGCGCCTTAGCCACTTGAACCACAGGTGCCGAGCCTTAAAAGGCTATTGTAGAAGGATATTTAATAAAATGAAAAGTTAATTGAAGAAAGTATTTTCTTTTTATAACACAGTTTTACTTTGTCACCCTGAGTTGAGTGCTGTGGCATCACAACTCACACCAACCTCAAACTCTTGGGTTTGCCTCAGCCTCCCAAGTAGCCAGGACTACAGGCACCCACCACAATGCTTGGCTCTTTTTAGAGTTGAGGTCTTGCTCTGGCTCAGGCTGGTCTCGAACCTGTGAGCTCAGGCAATCCAAGCCTTGGCCTCCCAAGTGTTGGGATTACAAATGTGAGCCATTGCGCCTGGCCTGAAAAAGCTTTTATTTTTTTGAGACAATCTCACGCTGTCACCCTGAGTAGAGAGCTCACAGCAACCTCCAACTCTTGGGCTTAAGCGGTTCTCTTGCTTCAGCCTCCCAAGTACCTAGGACTACAAGTACCCAGCTATGTTTTGGTTGTAGTTGTCCTTGTGGTTTGGCAGGCCCAGGCTGGGTTCGAACCCAATAGCTCTGGTGTATGTGGCTGGCGCCCTAGCCGCTGAGCTATAGACACCGAGCCTGAAAAAATATTTTGATTCTATTTTAATTTTTCTTTTTAAAGATGATATGCATATGCATATGCAGAAAAAATACGAAAGACGAACAGTGGTTATTTCTTTTTGGTCATCTATCTTAAACATCCTGTATTCTAAATCTTCTATATGAATCCTTGTATAATTGTTAAAAATTTTAAGTTTTGCACTCTGGGAGGCTGAGGCAGGTAGATTGTTTGAGCTCATGAGTTTGAGACCAGCCTGAGCAAAAGTGAGACCCCAAATCTACTAAAAATAGAAAAACTGAGGGCAAGAGTATCGCTTGAGCCAGAGTTGGAGGTTGCTATGAACTATGATGCCATGGCACTCTACCCAGCATGATGTTGGGGACTGTCTTGAAAAAAAAAATTTTTTTTTTTTTTTTTTAGATTTTAAAATTTTTAAATTTTAGGGCTGGGCATGGTAGCTCATGCCTGTAATCCTAGCACTCTCAGGGGCTAAGGTGGGTGGATAGCCTAAGTTCACAGGTTTGAGACCACCCGGAGCCAGAGTGAGACCTTATTTCTAAAAATAGCCAGGTGTTGTGGCAGGCACCTATAGTCTCAGCTACTTGGGAGAGTGAGACAAGAGAATTGCTTAAGCCCAAGAGTTTGAGGTTGCTGTGAGCTGTGACGCCACAGTACTCTTCCAAGGATAACAAAGTTAGACTCTGTCTAAAAAAAAAATTTTTTTTTTTTTAAATTTTAAACAGCTCATGCCTGTAATCCTAACTGCTTTAGGAGGCTGAGGTGGGAGGATAACTTGAGGCTAGAAGTTAGAGACCAGCTTAAGATCCCATCTCTACCAAAATAAAAAATAAAATAAATTAGCTGGGTGTGGTGGCATGCATCAGTAGTCCCAGCTACTTTGGAGGCTGCAGTAGGAGGACCTCTTAAGCCCAAGAGTTCAAGCTTGCAGCCAGCTATCATGATGCCACTGTACTCTAGCACAGGCAACAGGAGACCTTTTTATCTTGGAAAAAAAAATTGTTTTTTCAGGGCATTGTTGGAGTTAATACCGAATAAAGTATCTAAAGTTATGTATATTCTAGGTATTATTTATTTAACAGTAATAGTATTTTAAAGTAGCAGTTATATTAATTCCTTGTTTTTTTTTAAACATATCCTCTAGTGTTTTTCTTCTTTAACTTAGAAATTTTGGTCAGAAGAGAGTTACTTGATCTATGCTTGTGTAGGATATAGCACTGCTCAGATGTGTCCATTTCTTGTGAAATGTTTAAAGCAACTTCTAGGTTCCTCTTACACTGTTTTTAGTTCAGCAGAGCTAAAGAATTATCCCCTTCCAGTTGGCTATATTGCTATTACTAGAATTTCCACATACTCAATGTGCCAAATACATTGAATATTTTAAAATTTTGTGGCAGTAATCTTGAATGGTTGAAAACCTGATTCATTCTGTTCAGTTTAAAAGAAATAATATAAGTGATAAGATTATTTATGTAGAATGCAAAATAGCAATCTTTAATTTTAATGTGTATACTAGTTCTTTCACTTAAAAAAATGTCAATTTAGTGGTAATTGTAGAACCAGGGAACTTCATGTAGAATTCTAATTAAACTTTTCCTGTTGTTTTCACCTAGGAAGCCTTGGAAGATCGTTTGGAAAGGATTAATCGAGAACTGGGTTCAGTTCGCATGACACTAAAGAAATTTCATGTTCTGCGTACCTCTGCAAATCTTTGAGATTTGTAGCCATTAAATTTTGAGACATTTTGTTTGCACTAATGTATAATTATGCACTCAGAAAAGGCGAACTATTTTGTACTATTTATAAGCCTTCAAACAGTAGTTTTACAATCATGCTATTCTTACACTTGCTATTTTATACTACAAAAGGTCACATATTTTCAAGATATTTTTGTTATGCTCAGGAATCTCTTGTATATTTTACTATTTAATAAGTATTATTTTAAAATAGTATATGCCTTCAATTTATATCAAGAATAAGGAAATGTAAACAGGAAGCTATTTGTTTCTAAACAAATAGTGTTATCCTTTTAAGATTAACTTTGCACACCAATTTTATAAACTTGTTCTACATTGTACATATGATTCATTTTTTAAAAATAAAGCTGAACAGCTTCCACATTGCTAGACCAATTCAGGCAAATACAAAGACAATTACAACATGCCTTGGATTTCAGTTGTGTTGAGGTTTTAAAAAAATAATGCAACTCTTATTTGATACATTTCTTGGAGTAAATGTCAGAATAGTAATAGACTATTGGAAAGCTTTGCAAACCACATGAATATAACCCATTTTGTTTTCCTTAAACTTTGCAAGGATAGGAAAAAATGAGAAGGATGTGATTCTCTAATTTTGTCTTAGATGTAATACTTTCTAAAAAAGTTAAACAATGAGAGAGATGTAGCTCTCTGCCTATAATTCTGCATGTAACTTGTTTTATACCCTGGGCAATAAATGGAGAGATTAAACCCTGGATGAAACACAAGCTACCACCCAGTGAGGTATTAAGAGAGTAGCCCTGGTTTCCTCAGTGTACATGCCTTCCGCTGTTGGAATTGTCATCTGGACATTTTCACCCCTCTCCACCTTCTCCACCCCTGCCAAAAAGAAATATTTTCAGTAGGTGCTGTTAGACCATAGGCTTTACATCAGAGCAATCCATTCCACTTGTTCATGGACAGGGAATGTCTAGATAGAGCCTGCTGCCTTCCCCTGGACCTTACAGAAGACTCTAGCCCTGACTCCATGGTATCAAGTGTCACTCAGAAGTGGCATGAGGACAAGAGGCTCTGCTCCACTACAGGAGCACAAGCAAGTTGGTACTGGGGTTGCTATTTAAGTCTAGACTGCATTTCCACCCACTTTTGTTGACTGGTCAGAACCCAGTACCCCATATATTCTTGCTGTGCATGTGTTGATAAGCACACTGTCCCAACTTTCTCAACTGATTCCTACTGAACATGCTCAGGTTTTAGATTTGGTTTGCGGCGGCACCTGTGGCTCAAAGGAGTAGGACGCCAGCCCCATATGCCGGAGGTGGTGGGTTCAAACCCAGCTCTGGCCAAAGACAGCAAAAAAAAAAAAAAGATTTGGTTTGCTTTTGAGCCTTTTATCTTCTGTGACTCTTAATATGCAATTACAATGAACCAGACTATCCCACTTATTCTGTTAGGGTGTATATATGACTTCATGCAGGATATCAAGTGGTCTTTGGGCACCCTTCACCCAAGCTTCACCTGGCTGGTGTCCAGGCCTGGGACCCACAGCCCTGCTCTCCTCTCAGCAAAGAGGGAGACCCATCTAACAGTGCCTGTTGAACCTCTGCTCCTGACTCTTGCTGCTAGTTGAAGACTTCAGGCAAATCAAAATTATTTATAGACAGTATCAAGTGCCTTTATTCTTGATATACATAGATATATTTTTAAAGACAGGATCTCGCTCGTAGCACAGGCTGGAGTGCAGTGATGTAATCACAGCTCACCGCAGCCTCCCAATTCCTGGGCTCAAGTGATCCTCCTGCCTTAGCCTCCCAAGTAGCTATGACTATAGGCTCTCATCTCCACACCCAGCTTTTTTTTTTTTTTTTGTAGAAATAGGATCTTTCTGTATTGCCCAGGCTGTTCTCAAACTCCTGGCCTTGAGCAATCCTCTGACCTCAGCCTCCCAAAATGTTGGGATTACAGGCATGAATCACAATGCCTTGCTATTCTGGATATTTTTTTCTAGCCTTTAAAATAAAAACTCTTAGTCATAGTAAATAAATTTATTTTAATCAAATTCCAGTATAGTTGGTGTCAAGATCTAGTAAAGGATTGACTTTATTGGTGATATTTTTTTCCTTGATGTGTTCTTAAATATGATATTAAAAATTACCTTGAAAATGGTTGGGCTATCTCCTTGTTCCCTGTTAGTGTAAAGCCTACTACAGTCTTAAGAAAGAAATTGCCATTTCAGAAGAGATAGTTTTATCTTGCCAACGAGTTATCTTCTTAGTAGCCTATATTGGCTTATTCCAAAAAAGGTGTTAAGCGCCATCAAAATATCTTCTGCGCCTTTCTCTCAGTAAGCATATGCTTTGATATTTGAAGTGTATAATAGATTGGAGCTATCAATCACTTATTTAAAAATTGTTTAATTTTTTTTCATAGCTATGAAGAGGGAAACCTGGGAAAACTCTTTCAGCTGTCTTTCCCTTTGGTAATGCTTATTTATGAACAACCAATTGAAAAACAATTCACCCTGAAAGTAGGAAAGGTGGAAATCTTAAATAGCAACTATTAGGGAGATAAACTGTTTATTGTTGGATGGGGCTGTGCTTGCAGGCACAGCCTGGCGGTTCACAAAAACCCAAGTGATTCTTCCACTTCTGGGAAGTGTCTTTTTAAATACAGATAGGAAGTGAACTTGCCCTTAGTGCCCAGATCTGCCCCCTTCCTTTCCTTTTCAGACCCTCTGTAGAAGCTATTCCTGAGGTGAGGAAAAGGACCTTTCCAACTGATGCTACAGTAGATGTAGCTACAGCACAGGCAGCTCTAGGGCTGGGCACAGCTGGGAAGAGGGACTTGTAGTCAGTCAGACCTGGGTCACATCCTATAATCAGTAAGAGAAAATGACAAGAAAACTTGAGGGAAATTCTGTAAGTGCCTGGTGCTTAGTAAGTGCTCAATAAATAATATGTTTCAGATTCATTCTGAAAATAAAATAGTAGACTATTCCAAGCAACTGACCTAAAAACTGCCATGGGTTGACTTTTCTGTTAGGTAGTCTGAGATGTTCTCTTCACCATTTGCAAAAACATAAGCTTGCTTGTGGTTTAAGTGAGCTGCTTCCCTTGGGATTTTTTTTTTTTAATGACTAAAAATAAAACTGATAACCTATCAATTATAAATTCAACTTTGATCTTAATAAAATTGGTAATTTGGGGGTTGAGATATAGTCTGCTTTCCTAAAAGTTATTGCTAGTGTAATAAAAGTGATTCTTCCTTTGCATGTTCCATGAGTAGACATCTCAAAGTGATGGCCTGTGAAATAACCATGTAAAAGCAGTGCCTTCTTCTGGGTGTTAGAAGATATATGTGGAGACTATGGTTTAGAGTTTAATAACCAGCCAGAAAGTGTTCCCCTTTTTACCCTAGAAAAGCCAGGCACTTTGCTGAAGGCTGTTTGAATTCTGAACCCTGTATCTGTATGTGTGATAAAATTAGACACTTCTGTCACTTTAATTTTTGGATAACTACATTTAGAGTAGTTTTCACTAATTTTTAACATGCCACTTGTGTGTTTAAGAAGCTTTAAAAAGTAAATGCACACCCAGAGCTTTTTAGGAATCATAAAGGTAAATCATATTTACCTGTCATGAGTGATCATATATGGTTATGGGATCTGCAAGTCTGATTAAACTGTTCATATTGCACAAATTTTGCTGGAAATCATTTCCTGCTCTGCCAAGAGCTCTATGGTAGTTTGACAATAAACTACACCAGTATTCTTAGGATGTGTTACTAAACCTTTTCTGCTTTATTTCAATAGACCCCTCAGCTATGAGGAATCAAGCCATAAATTTGCATTTGTTGGACATCGTATACCACATCATCACTATAACTACAGATTTCATGGATGATGGTTTTACTCACACTTAACAATTTCACTGTAACAGTGACCAATAATGTGAAAAATTTGCTTCATATAGTGCTGCTGATGGTTAGAAAAAGATAAGTGCTTGTTGGAGTTGTTTTTTAATCTAGTCAGATACTGGAGTGATGAAATTGTAAGCTCCATGAGAGCAGGAACCATAACTTCTTTCTTGCATATAGGCACTCAATAAACATTTGTGGCTATGAACTGTCTTGTGGTTTTAGTGTATTTTTCATACTGGCTAGCTGTGAGATCTAGTTTTTAAAGGTGTTCTTTATGTTTCAGGCATATATATATAAGCCCTTGGAGTTACCTGGATTGAGTACCCTCATTGCAGGGTTGCAGCGGTACCCTGGTATACCACCCGGGTCCTCTGTTCTGACTGGCTTGTGTGGAGTCACTCTGGGGATCTGCATATGACTCTTAGGGCACCTCTAGGTGGAGGCAAGTATGTGGTGGGCACCTTCACTTGCCTTGGTGTGGTCACCATAAGACAGGCATTTTGAGGCCAATCAAGTAATGATGGCTTTCATGGCCCATTCAGTCTTCCAATTCTGGCAATATCCCAAGAAGAGGAATAGCCCTCTGTGGGTTTGCTCTTCCTCGTTTTATCTGAAGTCATTTTGGGCTTTTTTCCTCAACCATATAAGGGGATATTTTCTGACAGCCAGGTTTCAGGTGTGTCCTCTTTAGCTCCATGGCTTCAGATTTTAGCCAACAAATCCTCCATCCTTGCTCAAACTAAACGTTTCCTTTGAAATAGTTTCCAAATGGGGAGTCCTATCATCACTGAACATCAAGATGGAGCAATGTCTGGACCTCTTCCAGTTCCCTTTAGAAGTCTGACTAGAGCCTCCTGCATACCATCACTGTTCCTGCTCCCGCTTCCGCTGACCAGCGCACATTTTCAGTTTTGCCCAGTGGTATATTTGGTGTCTTGAGGAAAGAACTCCTTGATGCCTGTTTCTCCAAATCTGATCTGTGATGTAAGCGTTCAGCGCACAGGTCTGGGCTTCAGTTAACTGCCTTTGTCTTCCCCACAATATTCCAAATGTCTTATGAAGTTTTACCGTAGTTTGTTCCCCTTGAATTGTCACTTTACTCCTAAGAAACTTCCATTTTTGAGAAATGAGGCTATTTAAGAGGCACAATCCCCGCAAGTCCACTGAGTCTCCTCCCCAAGTGCACCCAGCGCCTAGCAGGCGTGCTGACAGACCAGGCCCAGGGCGCTGGGGGACGAAGAGGTCCCAGTGGGGACCTGCGCGCGGCGGTACCTCTTCCCCACCCCGGAGTCCAGCCCCAGACCCCCGGCCCGGGAGCGCCCGCACAGCTGCGCCGGGCGTGCTGCCGGGAGGGTGAGGAGCCCGCCAGGCCGCCCAAGTTGGAGAGGTTTCTTCCGG